CTCATCTTATCATCAAGCCACTCAGCCATCCAGCAACAACACACACTCATTATCAAACCCCACAGAGTAGGGAACAAGTACCTGACAACCAGCATTACAACTCACCTATCAGAACAAACGCACACCTATCAGACTTCACAGAACACAACACTCTCCATTCAGATGCCTAAGCTCACCACGGGGAGGTAGATTCTTCTTACAAGTTTAAAGGCATTGGATTGAAGTAAACCCCTATACCTCAGTGGTGTAAACATGGATGAGAGAGTTTCCTTCCACCATATGTTTTGCACCAGTCTCGGCGCTATTCTTTTTAAATCCAAGTCACATTGAGATTGACTTTATAATTTAAACATCACCTAACCTACTGTATGATCTGACCCATTACCTTATGTATTACTGCCCCCGAGTTGCAAGAAGTGACATCCCAAAAAACAAATGTCTCGTAGCCTCCCAGGCATGCTTTCTTTCCCTAACACTAAAACTGAAACTAAATAATGTACAAAGAAAATATAAATATTTTTAAACAAGTATAACTACACTGAACAAAATTATAAACTCAACATGCAACAATTTCAAAGATTTTACTGAGTTACAGTTCATAAGGAAATCAGTCAATTGAAATATGTGGTCCTCTGTAGCTCAGCTGGTAGAGCACGGCGCTTGTAACGCCAAGGTAGTGGGTTCGATCACCGGGACCACCCATACACAAAAATTTGTATGCACGCATGACTGTAAGTCGCTTTGGATAAAAGCGTCTGCTAAATGGCATATTATTATTATATTATTACATTATTTAGGCCCTAATCTATGGATTTCACATGACTGGGAAAACATATGCATCTGTTGGTCACAGATACCGTTAAAAAAAAGGTAGGGGTGTGGATCAGAAAACCAGTCAGTATCTGGTGTGACCACCATTTGCCTCATGCAGCGTGACACATCTCCTTCGCATAGAGTTGATCAAGCTGTTGATTGAGGCCTGTGGAATGTTGTCCCACTCCTCTTCAATGGCTGTGCGAAGTTGGTGGATATTGGTGGGAACTGGAACACGCTGTCGTATGTGGATCCAGAGCATCCCAAACATGCTCAATGGGTGACATGTCTGTTGAGTATGCAGGCCATGGAAGAACATAATTTTCAGCTTCCAGGAATTGTGTACAGATCCTTGCGACATTGGCGCCGGGCATTATCATGCTCAAACATGAGGTGATGGCGGCGGATGGATGGCATGACAATGGGCCTCAGGATCTTGTCACCGTATCTCTGTCCATTCAAACTGCCATCAATAAAATGCAATTGTGTTCCTTGTCCGTAGCTTATGCCTGCCCATACCATGACCCCCCTGCCACCATGGGGCACTCTGTGCACAATGTTGACATCAGCAAACCGCTCGCCCACAGAACCGCTCACCCACAGGCTGTCTGCCATCTGCCCGGTACAGTTGAAACTGGGATTCATCCGTGAAGAGCACACTTCTCCAGCATGCCAGTGGCCATCGAAGGTGAGCATTTGCCCATTAACATTAAATTCTCTGGCAACAGCTCTGGTGGACATTCCTGCAGTCAGCATGCCAAATGCACGCTCCCTCAAAATTTGAGACATCTGTGGCATTGTGTTGTGTGACAAAACTGCACATTTTAGAGTGGCCTTTTGTTGTCCCCAGCACAAGGTGCACCTGTGTAATGATCATGCCGTTTAATCAGCTTCTTGATATGCCACACCTGTCAGGTGGATGGATTATCTTGGCAAAGGAGAAATGCTCACTAAAACAGGGATGTAAACAAATTAGTGCATAAAACTTGAGAGAAATAAGCTTTTTGTGCAATTGGGAAATGTCTGGGATCTTTTATTTCAGCTCATTAAACATGGAACCAACACTTTACATGTTGCATTTATATTTTTGTTCAGTGTAAATAAAAACTAGAAAATCAGGTCAGAAAACTAACTGAAACTAAACAGAATTTCAAATAAAATCGGAAAACGAATAGAAATAAAAACGAATATAAAAACACAAAAGTATTTTAACATTGGCGCACACCAATCAGAGGCCTTTCAGTAACATGGTATGACAGACAGCAGTAAGCCCAGGCATGTCAGTCTCACATGGTCCGGGGCACATGTGGTCAGGGCTCCTAAAATACATTCCCCCAGAAAAACTGACTGCATGGGCGGCTGTGTGGCCGATCCATCCGTGGTGCCAATGTTCACTAGGACAAAGAGTCGCCACAACACCCTGTAAATAGTTTTAACTGGTCTCTCTGCACAGGTAGACAGGCTGTTTTGAAACTAATATGCTTGGGGATGAGGAGAGGATGTCATTGGGTTTGTTTGGGAGGGCATATGTGGTTTTGAATAGTTCGAATTTCTATGGTAATTAATCAAATGTGTGCCTGTTTAGTTTTAAAAAAATTACACATCTCAACACATATGTAGGCTATTGGGTAACATCAAGAAACTCACAGCAGAAGCCTCTAATCAATGTGTTGACTTTCTTTCTGGGTGATCTGCTCCAATGCCCTGGAGACAAACTGCCTGAGGCAACACCCACCACTAGGTCAAGTTACTGTAGAGTACACAAATCAAGAAGCCCCCCTACACCCTGGGGGAGTTCAAGGTCAACTCCTGACTTATGGCCAGCTTTGTCACAGGCCACAGGTCTAAAGCCCACAAGATAACACAGGCAGGCGGCTGGGCGGCTACTTAAGCAACATAATCCAGCAGTGGTGTGGTTGGGTTGATTTGCACAAGGAGCTCCACCCAAGGGAGTTGTAACTCCTTCACATGGACTGACTGACTAATATTTATAACAAGTAAATACAAATACATATTCTGTCTAATACAAAGTTCCAGGCTAATTCAGACTATTTCCTTTTCTAAACACGTCAAACGCATGATCATCTTAATTCACAAAGGAAATCCATTAATTTTTCTGTGCTATTATTATATCATTCAACGTTCCACAAAAGCGGAAATCAGCCCTTGACGGATTGGTGCTGCTTCAAACGTGCCACTGCTTTACAGAACCGTCGGAAATGGCCACTTCAAAAACCACCCGGCTTCCCTTTGAACCGGTCCGGTTTAACATGAACAATGACAGTGCCATTATCTAATATATATCCACTGGGAGAGCTGGAGATATGACTGGCAGAGAGGGGGGTGGGAGGCACCTGTGTAAGTCTTAGAAGAGACCACAAAAACCATTCAACTGGATCCAGCCCTTACAAATTGCAGTGACCGCATCATTTGTTCCGTGCATTAACAAAATCTACAAAGGCTTTGGACTGTTTCTATTGGGCAAGATAAATCCGAGAAATTCTATCTAAGCATGAAAGAAACCTGAGTAGGAGTAGGCATAGATTGTGTTAAGGGAGAAAGGGTGTGACCAAGCATGTGGCAAGTTAGTCTGACATAAACTTGACCTTCATATTCACTTATTTTGACAAATGCTTTGTTATGACTGTAAAATCATCAAAGGGTTATAGGAACCAACAGTATTTGACAGACATCTGTGCAGAAAGCACATGGAAGTGTGGTTGACTGAATTATTTCAGAGGCATCGACAACACCTTTCCTTATCTACACACCCCTCTGATGTGAAGACATGGCCTACACAAGATTGCATACAGAGGGTTAATAATCACAAAATAACATTGTACTACTTTACCAAATTTAATCATTCTATGGGATACAGTATTTCACTTTTATCATGGACTGATAGACTGCTTTAAGTAATTTTTTCAGTTTCGAGCTGTTTCTCAATAAGCATTTGAGCTGTTTCTCTAGAAGGTAGGATCATCGTGTGCAGAGCATAATATCTATGCAATTTAACCAATTAGCTATTAGCAGCCAATCTAGTCTGATTTATTTGCCTCGCATTGAATTGATAAGCCTCAGGTCAATGCTGCCAAATCAGTCTGCTCCAATTTGTGAAATAATAACATTGGAAGGCAACACTCCAATAAACCTGCACGCTTTCTAATGAAAGCACACACAGCCTCATAAATACATTCTTGGCATTGACAAAAGATTTAGGGGGGAGCTGAAAACAAATGGATGACATAAGGGGGGAGGTAGCTTGGTCTGGAGCCTCACTGGATCACAGTTGCTGTTTGATAGGCTGTGCGGGACAAAGGGAGAGGGGGAGGCGTGTGGTTGGTAGTTTCAGAGAATTCTTCAGCCCCATACTTTATAGCACGCCTTAATGCAGTAATGCCACTTTCCCTGCTCCCAAATAAACAGAGCATTACCACGTCTTCAATTCAGACGTCCCTCAAGCCGTCACGAGCCGAGCAGGCGCTATATTTATCCTCTCTCGCAGCCCCTCTGCTCCGTTTAGCTTAGTTAAGCCCAGCTAAAAACAGAGATGGGAGAATCTGCCACCGTCACCCATTCTCTTTCCACAGTCCTCCTAGGGAACATGGATGCGGTGTGGTACTCACTTTTAGGAAGATTTACTTTCTAGGGATCTCCATTTGGTGCCGACCCCTGAACCGCAGACAAAACCTGTTTCTCAATCACAACAGGTTCAGCTCTGAACCCTCTCCACCCACCCGACCTGGACCTGCACGCCCCCCAGATCAGACCTTTAACATCCCTCTGATCCCTAAACCCTGGACAGAATTTCACCCTCTTTCCCCCTCACTGTGGATAATTGAGCATATGGTGCAATTTCATGGGCCGTGAGCCAAACTCCTGCAGCTGACCCCACTGCAGCCACGGGTCATAATAGATGCATATCCCCCAGCCACAGGGGCATGATCTGAGGCTGATTCCTGGCATGCAGCCAGCTGTGGGACATCACTCACATGACTAGTGCTGCCTGTCTGTCTCAGACAAGGAAAACTTAGAGCCTTGGCTCTATTCACCCTTTGACATCCCACTGTTATATTTCATACTCTCACCAGAGAAACCTTGTCAATTAAACAACAGCCACCGTGAAGGTACAGCACTTGGCTGAGTAGGAGGAATCAATGAAAGCCCTCCAGGTTTGGGTCACTCACCTGTCCCAGGTCCAAAGTGACGTTCACCTCGTTGTACATGGGTCCCCGGGAGAGAGGCGGGCTCTGCCACCAGCGCTCAGTGCCATCGATGGCATTGCTCACCGGGTGGGCCTTGTTTGGCTCGTTGGAGTTGCATCTGTCACAATACTGTCCCTGCAAGGTAAGGGCCAATGAAATGGTGTTACTCTGAGCCCAAAACACATATAAATAGAGTCCCACCAACACAAAGTCACACATTCAGTGCATAGTAAACTTGTATTCAAGCAAATGAATAAACCACAGTCACAGTATCCATCAGTAAAAAAATATGAACCATGCAAACATAGACAAATACATTTGCAGACAGTGCAAGTAATCACATGCAATTGTAGCAACAATGGTAATACCGATATCTGGAAATACTGTAACAGTAAACCAATATCCCGCTATGCAATAATGGTATCAAGCAATATATAGGCCTACTGGGGCCCTTCTTTGTATATGTTTTAAAGCCCCTTAGTGTTCCAAAGGTATTGAAACTCCTGAAGGGGCAAGTCTACTGTTGAGAGGGCATTCCCATTGGAGAGCTCAGGAGTTAAACACAATGGTGTAAACTATTTCTGGCAGGTGTACAACTTGGTCAGAGCAGGCAGAATTGCCTATGTTCCCCAGGGGGCTATAGTGACTCATTCTGGAGCCTGGGTGCAAGAGCAAGGAAGCAAGGAGCATTCAACTGTAATACCAGTTTAACTGCAAATTTGGTATTTCACATGGGAATATATAGATGTACACTACCGGTCAAAAGTTTTAGAACACCTATTCATTCAAGGGTTTTTCTTATTTTTTTACTATTTTCTACATTGTACATCAAAACTATTCTTCAAATAGCCACCCTTTGCCTTGATGACAGCTTTGCACACTCTTGGCATTCTCTCAACCAGCTTCATGAGGTAGTCACCTGGAATGCATTTCTATTAACAGGTGTGCCTTCTTAAAAGTTAATTTGTGGAATTTATTTCCTTCTTAATGCGTTTGAGCCAATCAGTTGTGTTGTGACAAGGTAGGGGGGGTATACAGAAGATAGCCCTATTTGGTAAAAGACCAAGTCCATAATATTGCAAGAACAGCTCAAATAAGCAAAGAGAAACAACAGTCCATCATTACTTTAAGACATGAAGGTCAGTCAATACGGAACATTTCAAGAACTTTGAACGTTTCTTCAAGTGCAGTCACAAAAACCATCAAGCGCTATGATGAAACTGGCTCTCATGAGGACCGCCACACGAATGGAAGACCCAGAGTTACCTCTGCTGCAGAGGAAAAGTTCATTAGAGTTACCAGCCTCAGAAATTGCACAGAGTTCAAGTAACAGACACATCTCAACATCAACTGTTCAGAGGAGACTGTGTGAATCAGGCCTTCATGGTCGAATTGCTGCAAAGAAACCACTACTAAAGGACACCAATAAGAAGAAGAGACTTTCTTGGGCCATGTGTCCTTTGGTCTGGAGTCCAAATTGGAGATTTTTGGTGTCTTTGTGACACGCGGTGTGGGTGAACGGAGGATCTCTGCATGTGTATTTCACACCGTAAAGCATGGAGGAGGAGGTGTTATTGTGTGGGGGTGCTTTGCTGGTGACACGGTCTGTGATTTATCTAGAATTCAAGGCACACTTAACCAGCATGGCTACCACAGCATTCTGCAGCGATACGCCATCCCATCTGGTTTGGGCTTAGTGGGACTATCATTTGTTTTTCAACAGGACAATGACCCAACACACCTCCAGGCTGTTTAAGGGCTATTTTACATTTACATTTACATTTTAGTCATTTAGCAGACGCTCTTATCCAGAGCGACTTACAGGAGCAATTGGGGTTAAGTGCCTTGCTCAAGGGCACATCGACAGATTTTCACCTAGTCGGCTTGGGGATTAGAACCTGCGACCTTTCGGTTACTGGCACAACGGTCTTAACCACTAAGCTACCTGCCGCCCCTTTTACCAAGAAGGAGAGTGATGGAGTGCTGCATCAGATGACCTGGCCTCCACAAGTGGTCCTCTGTAGCTCAGCTGGTAGAGCACGGTGCTTGTAACGCCAAGGTAGTGGGTTCGATCCCCGGGACCACCCATACACAAAAAAAAAATGTATGCACGCGTGACTGTAAGTCGCTTTGGATAAAAGCGTCTGCTAAATGGCATATTATTATTATTATAATTCCCCGACCTTAACCACATTGAGATGGTTTGGGATGAGTCAGACCTCAGAGGGAAGGAAAAGCAGCCAACAAGTGCTCAGCATATGTGGGAACTCCTTCAAGACTGTTAGAAAAGCATGCTCCAGGTGAAGCTGTTGAGAGAATTCCAAGAGTGTGCAAAGCTGTCATCAAGGCAAAGGGTAGCTATTTGAAGAATCGCAAATATAAAATATAGTTTGATTTGTTTAACACTTTTTTGGTTACTGTATGATTCCATATGTGTTAGTTCATAGTTTTGATGTCTTCACTACTATTCTACAATGTAGAAAATAGTAAAAATAAAGAAAAACCCTTGAAGGAGTAGGTGTTCTAAAACTTTTGACCGGTAGTGTATGTATGGGAGGAAAAATCATAAGAAAATCACTAGCTTGCAAGGAAACAACTTCATTACTTTGATTGAATAATACAAATACGATGTTATTATGTACTATGGGTTGTGTTTCTGTTGGTATCTGTCCACTTCATGTGTTCAGAACAATGTTATTAAGACGTGCACATTAATAGGCTACATTTGTATTTTACGCATGCACTCATGCCAGCCAACCTCTTGCGTAGTTACAACTTACATTTTAACTGTAAACATTATTATTAAAGGCAAAAAGGTGGTGATCAATATAAACGTTTCAAAAATGAAACCACAAATCATGAAACCGTAAATGTCGTTCACTCATTACCTGTATCGTTTGACTAGGAAGTCCAAAGGTAGGTCCTCCGACAAGTTTACAGTACAAATCAGATCTCGGTCTCCCTGCTTCATCTTCACCGCAAGTTGCGGTGGCAGATATCCGTGACCCCTCCGCGAGGTTGAAGTACGGGGGACTCAAACTAAACCCGGTTATTTCATTAAAAGACACCTGCCCGTAAACGTCCCCCCAAAATAAGAGCGAAAAAGTAAATAATAAAGCAACGGGATGAGCTCTCTTCACCCCGCTCGCCATGTTCCACCTCAATAATCTCTGTAGATGCTGAAGTCAAATTGCAACTCGCACTTCAAGTTATCTAGATCCCCATGAAATAATACCGCAATCTCAACGCATAAAACAAGCCAGTCCTTCTGAGCCTGGCAATGGAACCACTCGTGCGTGCGGTGCGGTTCAAGTATGCTGATGTTAAAGTTTCACTTGTGTCTCTGCTGCTGCTGTTACCTCTGTGCTTCCCCTCGACATGTTCCCTCGTGAAATAAGCACTTGCTCCCGTTTTTCCCTAATCAAGCTCTGCCACCCGGGGCCGTATCAAGTGTCAATACAGTCATTGGGTGTCACCAGTGAGTTATAGTTTAGGCCCTACTTGCCTTGGGGCCAAAGTCTCTCTATAAATCTCCATATTGAATCACGTTCAAGCCAAAGCAAAAATCATCAGTAATGCAAGTAATCCAAGAAAATATTTCACTAGACATTTTTGGAGACAAAGTTTTGACACCAACTCAGAGATTGTTTTTAGGGCAAATTCTTTCAAAATACAGCATACAGCAGTCATTAACAGATCATTGTGTTTCCTCAATCATGGCCATCCTTCAACTGACCACTGATTTGTTTCACAGTAAAATGTGAGATAGTATAGTCTAATTATAGTGGCCTAATGCAAAACAGTTATATAAAAGATGCAGGGATCCACTGAGTCTTCATTTGTTTTGCTTCAATAAAACAGTCTGCATGAGCAATTGTTGACAGAGAGAAAAACTGGAATGCAACTGGCAATGTTAAAAAAACATCCATCAATCCCATCCAAAAACAGACTCCCCATCCTCAACACACACCATGATGCCATACTGAGCCACACCCAACCAGAGCACACCCAACCCAGATTCATTCAGAGACACACTCCCTTCTCCTGCATACCTTTGCTATTTCCAGTGCCATGTTTAGTGATTATGTGCAGGGTGTAAACATAGTGGATTATCAACTGATAAGTAGTTATAGCCTCTACATAATTAGTCAAATTACAAATTGGGCTTATCTATTCAATTGGGCAACAGAAATAATGTGCTGTTTAGATAATATGTGCTATCTGCTCCCACCTTTGTGGACTATTCTTTGCATGTACAATATTCACTCACTGCTATTATCTTGACATCTGCATTACCAATAATACAGGACAGGCAGTGGTCTACCTAATAAACCCACCTGTGAGGCATAGAGTTCACATTATTATCACAAACCACTGGTCCTAGAGCGACACCTTGTGGAGATCTACATCAATGCATGAGGGAGTTTCACAAGAGAGGAATTGACAGCACTCACCAAGCACAAAACTCACAGCTCTGCTGCAGTGTCACATCCCTGACATCTAGGGGAGTTTTAAACTTCTGCTTTGCATGAAGGACAGACAAGGGAGAACGCTAATAAGGTTAGGCCATTATCCTACTGTGAATGGTGCCTCATGTTTTCCTGGACTGTTGACTATACTTGCATAACAAGCTTGTCATCATGACTCACAGGCAGGCGGGTCTCAGTCTCAGCTCTCAGCATTGTTGTCATTCTTTTCTACAGGAAAGTCTCTCGGACGCATGTCTGCTGTGACGAGTCTGTGAGATAAGCAACAAGTTAATGGCTGTGTAGGTAAACGAAACAGGAATATCAAGGGGCTCAGACTGTGTTGGTTCTCAGCAGCAACTGACCGCCTGAAAACTTCCCATGGAGCCAACAAATCTACAGGTAAAGTGACTGACTACTTATGTAAATAGCACTTTATCTTGGTAGACACATCTATGCTTTCTTGTAAATTAGTAATAAATGTTTATGGGCCTATGAATTTGATTCCACTTGTCAGAGTGAGACTGGCAAGCTGTCTTGGGGCTAGTGTCATCATAGAACTCCAGTCAAGCGAGTGTTTCTTGTGTTAGTGCTGTGTTGTCACTTTTGATAAGCTGATCAACTTGTTTACTTACATTCAAACAGACTAAAAGAGCACAGTATGTTATAAAGAGAAGGTCTAAATGAAAAACAAGCAAAATATTTTTGGGGCCAATTTCCCATAGGCGTACTGTGAGTTTGTACTGTTCATGCACTCACTACACTCCAGCTATTGGTCCCATTAACAAAGATGAGCTCCCACATTTGAGATAAACCTGCTGGACAACAGCTTGTCCCAGAGCCAAGTAAAGCCATTGTGACCCACTTAAAATAGTGTTTCACTTTTACACAGCTAAGAGAAATTCAGTAGTGGCTTGTGATGCTGATGCTCCATCTCCATGTATTCCATGATCTAATCAGAGCATAAAAATTGTATGAGTGTGTCTCTGCATTTGGCCAGTAACCACAAGGTCACTGGTTTGAATCCCCAAACCAACTAGGTGAAAAATATGTTGATGTGCCCTTGGGCAAGGCACTTAACTGAAGTTGCTCTGGATAAGTGTCTGCTAAATGACAAAAATGTCTCATTCAAATGAAGCAATTAATGTAGACATAATAGGAGACTATGTGGTGACAGTGAATGATGCTGTACTCCTCCTACTTTCTTCTGCCCAACTCCTCCTACTCTTTTCTGCCCAACTCATCCCTCTCTCTCCCACTCCTTTCTGCCCAACTCATCCCTCTCTCTCCCACTCCTTTCTGCCCAACTCATCCCTCTCTCTCCCACTCCTTTCTGCCCAACTCATCCCTCTCACCCTCTCATTTCAGAAAGCTATAGCTGTAGCACAGAAAGCCTCCCAGGAGGACCAGGCTGGGAACTACACGGAGGCTATCAAATCTTACCAACACGCTGTCAAGTACTTCCTGCACATTATAAAACGTATGTAACTGTCGCTCCTGAAGAAATTGACCAAATGTCATACGGACAGGACATAATAATTATAATTAGTCATTTAGCAGACGCTCTTATCCAGAGCGACTTACAGGAGCAATTAGGGTTAAGTGCCTTGCTCAAGGGCACATCGACAGATTTTTCACCTAGTCGGCTCGGGGATTAGAACCAGCGACCTTTCGGTTACTGGCACAACGCTCTTAACCACTAAGCTACCTGCCGCCCTACATGCAGTTCAGTAGCTACAGAATTGTAATGGGATATGATGCTCCAAACCCGTTACAGCTTGGCTAGTGTAAAGTTCAGCAAGGAATTTTTCAACTAACCTGTTCTTGGCAATACTTTTAAAATTCTCGATTTCAAAGAATAATATATCTTATAAATGTCTGTGTCCAGTTGCATGTGTTCTCCAAAAAACAGAGAAAATTCAGAAAGATATTAAATACACGTTTTGTATTGCTAAACTTTACACTAGCCAAGATGTAAGGGGTATGGAGCATCACATAGGGTAATTTGGGGCAACTAGCCCCCCTTTAACAAAATGTCTAACTGCTGACACAGAATGTCTTAGTTTGGTAAAAATGTGGCATGTGGATGATGGCCATGAGTAGGCAAACAAACTATGAAGGAATATAAATGGCTACAGTTGATACATTTATTTTTATTTAAGAAATAAATCAAAGGGGCATCCAGCTATCGGGGTAACTAAATGACTGTAACTCAATGAATATATTATTTGGACATGATTTGGAAAATGCTAATATACTGTAGGTACCATTGACTTGCTTTGGATAGCTTGGTGGCACTGCTTTCCCGCAGTTCTGTTAACGATGGAGAGGGCAGGTGTTCGGCAGGCTGTAGTGCTAGCTAGCTAGCTAGGAGGACCACGGTACACAGCAGGCGGGAGGCGGGGGCGACACCGGTAGAAAATATATTTATAACTAACCCACCTGTAGACAGTGTCCTTCGCCACCGAAAAACTCAGATAATACTTTTATTTCCCTTTTGACCCACATTTTAATCACATAGACAATCAGGGGAAATCCAGAATATCAAAAGTAGATCTGTCACGCCCTGACTTATGGGTCTCTAGTATGTTGAGTCAGGGTGTGGAGATCTATGTCATTATTTCTATGTTCACATTCTAGTTATTGTATTTCTATGTTTGGCCGGGTGTGATTCCCAATCAGAGGCAGCTGTCGCTCGTTGTCTCTAATTGGGGATCATACTTAAGTAGCCTGGTTGCAATCATTAGTTGTGGGATCTTGTTCCGTGTAGAGGCTTGGTTTGTGTTTAGCCTGAGGACTTCACGTTAAGTTGTTTTTGTTTGTGTGTTTATCTTTATAATAAACATGTATGCATTTCACGCTGCGCCTTGGTCTGACCCGTCCTTCAACGAACGTGACAAGATCTGAGTACCTCCCCTAGGATTTCTATAACGCAAACACATTCTAACCATTCTGATTGGTCCCAGAAAACGATGGGTTGGGCCAGAGCCAGAACACACGTGGATAAAGCGGCATTTTGAAAATGTGTCATTGGCTTTGATACTCTGATTGGTTAGAGATGATCCCATCGCTGATGACTTTATTTTGTACAACACCCCTCATTTTGACATCACCACAAACGACTTCAATGATGGCAGTCTCAACCTGAAGTATGGAGCGAACATAGAGCAGTGGAAGAATTCAGTTTGAGTCATCAGGCAAGCCTACCCTAGGCCTACCCTATGGTCTCTACAATAATCGGTGTAACTGTCCACAACTCTTAAAACTTCTCTCCTCTCCTCAGGTGAACCACAGGGTAAAGAGGGCAACCAGAAGATCAGAGAAAAGTGTAAACTGTACCTGGACAGAGTGGAAGAACTCCAGGAGTATCTAGAAAATAAAGAGGTAATTAGACAATGGACAATTCTATAAACAATTTAGGCTAAATGCACAGATCCTATTATATTACGAATTCCTAATTCTATAGTCCGATGTGGGCTCCCGAGTGATGCAGCGGTCTAAGGCACTGCATCTCTAGTGCTTGAGTCACTACAGACGCCCTGGTTCGATTCCAGGCTGTATCACAACCGGCCGTGATTGGGAGTCCCATAGGGCGGCACACAATTGGCCCGGGTTTGGCCGGTGTAGGCCGTCATTGTAAATAAGAATATGTTCTTAACTGACTTGCCTGGTAAAATAAATGTGTAGGCCTATGCCTGGAGGTAAGGATATAGCTAATAGGAGATGTGCATTGTGCATATCCTTCACATGTCAACATGATCCTAATCCTACACATTTTACATTTCATCCCTCTACAATAATTTATTGACACCCATGTGTGCGTCTATGAATGACGTAGGAACATTCCCTGGTCACATGAGAATTCTACTGGAATTAAGTCGGCGTCTGATAACGCGGAAGTGTAGGTTTTTTTTTTTTTTTTACCTTCAATGTATCGTTATTCAAAGATCTGAAAAAGGCTTGAATAGCGACCTTGATCGGTTGCAATTTAAGTAATTAACAAATACAGGGCCTGTTCGTAGCGATTTTTTGACAAGTAATCCGCCCTTATGGCTGCCAACAACAATTTACAGGTAAGTTGGAAAAGCTAACGTCGGCTAGCTAGCTACAGTAGTTAGCAAAATTACAAACCACCCATTTAGCTAACTATTATTTGTAGATCATTTTTTAGTTCGTTTGTTAGCTAGCTTAACATAATGATTAATTCGCCGTTATACTGTTGTCATATTTTGTTATAAGTGTCGTTAGATAACAATCACAGTTAGCTACCATGCTATCTGGCGACGGTAAAATGCTAGCTTGTTAGCTCGGACGCTAGCTAGCGATAACAGTTAATGTTGACAGTAGTCAATATGAAATTATTGTAAGCCTGATTGAAGATGGTTAGCTAACTAACATCAGCTTGCTTTGGCTAACGTTAACTAACTTTTATCTGAAACTTGATAGCTTCAATGTTTGCTAGCAGCTTGCAAAGTTGACCGGTTCGTTTTAGTTCTAAATGTGCTCCCCTCCCCAACAAGGCCAGAACGAGACAATCTGAAATTTGAATAGCAACCAAGTACCATGGAACATACACATACATAGAACATACACATACATAGCTGTAGCTCTACCTAAAGCCTTGCATATGGGGTCAATGTTTTTGTACTTGCTTCTGGTTACTGTAATTAGAATTATGTGCTTGTGTTATGCCATAGCTTTGAAGAGAGTCAATTAATTCTGATTGACAAGATCAAACTTAACTTGCAGCGAATCCTTTCAATTTGTTTTCCTTATGTCTTGTTTTTTTCATAACTTTCTAATTTTCTTGTTTTTCAGAAAGCCATAGATCTGGCCAGCAAGGCGGCCCAGGAGGATAAAGCTCAGAACTACGAAGAGGCCCTTCGTTTATACCAAAACGCTGTTCAGTACTTCCTACACGTAGTAAAATGTATGCTTTAAGGAAACAGGATATTTGCATACTGCGCTTTTCTCTTTTAGGGTTGTAATAGTCTCTGGATTGTTATGTCAATTGGTTTGTGTGGATTTGTTTGTATCACAACCTCTGTCTCATATAGGCTAATGGGGACATTTTAGAATCTCACTATGGTAGTGACCGGTCAAAGGTATCTGGGCCAAACTATTGGAACCTATCAGTTGAATGTGTTCTCTGTCCAGTGTCTACTTTTACTTCTCAGCAGAATTAATTACTTTTCAATTTCACAGAATTTCATATAGTCCAGGGGAGATAACTGTAATTGTGATTTATTCATACGTTTTCAAAATAAAAACGATTCTTCAGATGGTATTTTAATAGAATTCGTCCATTTCTCTCCTGCCAGATGAACCTCAGGGCGACAAAGCCAAACAGAGCATCAGGACCAAGTGTGCCGAGTACCTGGACAGAGCAGAGAAGCTGAAAGAATACCTGAAGAAGAAAGAGAAGGCTCCACCCACCAAGCCTGTGAAGGAATCCCAAGCTGACGACAAAGGGTGTGTGTGCGAGCAGGCTTTGTTCATGCAATGAGGCTTTACTGTGTGTGGATTGGGTTTAGCCTGTTATAGAGAGTGATTTGGAATGTGATGAGTCAACCTATGTAGATGCTCTAGTTGGATCAAAAACATCTGTTGTGGTTCTGTACACTCTTGTGCTCATTAGCTTAATTGAGATGGATTATTATTGTGCAGGAATGAGAGTGATGAAGGAGACGGCCCAGAAAAGAAGAAGTTTCAGAACCAACTTTCAGGTTAGTTATATCACTGACATGCTGTGTGGTAGTTTTACTTTTGTATTGTATCACAACACTCTGTCACAATTTTATAGTATGTCAAATGATTTTTTTGCCTAATGTCCACTTACATTTCAGTTTTACCTTCTCCCTTTGATGTCTAACTAATTTATTATTAGATTTTCACATGAATGTATCTGATCATTTTCCTTCACTGTAAAATTATTTATATGTTCTCCTCATACTGGATTTGTTTTTCAGGGGCTATCGTTATGGAAAAGCCAAACATCAAGTGGAATGATGTTGCCGGATTAGAGGGAGCCAAAGAGGCCCTGAAAGAAGCTGTTATTTTGCCAATCAAATTCCCACATCTTTTCACAGGTAACGTAGTCTTACTGCCTCAGATAACCAAAGAATTAATGATGAAATAATTTTTTTTGAATGTATGAAGAAACATTTTCGGCTTTAAGAATATACTGAAAATAAATGAATCCATCCAACCGCATTGCATAGTATACAGTCAATTGATTATTACCCTTCATTCATTTGTAAATAAAAAGTTTAGTCTATTTCTGCCCCAATGTTATTCACGACCACTCCCAACAACCTGTCTCTGTCTGTCTGTCAGGCAAAAGAACGCCATGGAGGGGGATCCTACTCTTCGGTCCTCCTGGAACAGGAAAGTCCTACCTGGCTAAAGCTGTGGCCACAGAGGCCAACAACTCCACCTTCTTTTCCATCTCCTCCTCTGACCTGGTATCCAAGTGGCTGGGAGAGAGTGAAAAGTGAGATGTTACTCTTAATCCTGGGAAACATGGGGGATTATTTGTAGAAATTGTGGAGAGGCGTGAAGTCCAATGCTGCCGTTTTAATTTGTTTGTAAATTAGGCCTAGATTAAGCCTAGTCCTGGACTAAAAAGCCAGCTCAATAGATAATATTTTAGTCCAGTATTGGGTTTAATCTGTGTCCCGGACATTGCTCCCATGTGTCTAATAGGGAAAAGCATCACCTTGATGTTTCTTCAATGCTCCTTTCTCCTCTCCAGGTTGGTAAAGAACTTGTTCACCCTTGCACGGGAGCACAAGCCCTCCATCATCTTTATAGATGAGATAGACTCGCTGTGTGGCTCCAGGAGTGAGAATGAGAGTGAGGCAGCTCGCCGCATCAAGACAGAGTTCCTAGTTCAAATGCAGGGTGAGAGAGCCAGAAAACAACATGTATCTGGATATTATAGTGGGCTGTATTGGTGTTAAAGTTAAAATGGTTGTAAATTGTTAATGAAATTATTTTCCCACAGGGGTTGGGAATGACAACGATGGTGTACTGGTGCTAGGGGCCACCAACATCCCGTGGACGTTGGACTCTGCCATCAGAAGACGGTAATGACACATTCTTACACTGGCTTAGCCTACCATCCCAACAGTGTACAAAATAACTTATCCTTTATGATTCTTGACTGTGACAGCACAGCCATAAAAATGTATGATAACTTGTACAACTCAGCTTGAACATGATTAGGGATAACGTCAACACACTGGACTGAAGTAAGAAAACTGTGACTCAGCAGCACTGCTTCTTAGCTTTTTGTTGCTGCTCAGATCTACCCTGTAGATGTAGGGGATGGAGATGTATTCTTCTTCCTGTAGAGTAAGTGTGATACGTTCAGTACAGCTCATCCTTAATTATCTCAGGTTTGAGAAGAGGATCTACATCCCCCTGCCAGAGGAACACGCCCGCACCTTCATGTTCAAGCTCCACTTGGGCGCCACACCCACCAGCCTCAACGACTCTGACTTTGTCACCCTGGGAAAGAAGACAGACGGCTACTCAGGGGCGGACATCAGCGTCATCGTCAGAGATGCGCTTATGCAACCAGTCAGGAAAGTTCAATCAGCCACTCACTTCAAACGGGTACGTCTCCATAATGACGACCATTGAATAACGTTGTCTATTTATCCTTCAGTGATAATCTTTATATCACATTTTATTTATCGCATGCTTCGTAAACAAACCAGTGTAGACTAACAGTGAAAATCAAATGTGTATTTATTAGTTGTTGTTTTTTTTTTTGTGGGGGGGGGGGGTTGTAAGATCAGCTTTAATATTGCAGATAGATTGTAACTTCCATCAATGTAATTGTCTGCATCAGTGAAATTCCTACTTACGTGACCTTCCCAACAACACAGTGAGAAAAAATATAAATAATGGAAAAATAACAACACGACGAATAAATACACAATGCGTAACGATAGCTTGGCTATATACACGGGGTACCAGTACCGAGTCGATGTGCAGGGGTGAGTGGTAATTGAGGTAGATATGTACATATAGGTAGGGATAAAGTGTCTAGGCAACAGGATAGATAATAAACAGTAGCAGCAGCATATGTGATGAGTCAAAAGAGGGTCAATGCAGATAGTTTGGGTAGCTATTGGTTAACTATTTAGCAGTCTTATGGCTTGGGGTTTGAAGCTGTTCAGGGTCCTGTTGGTTCCAGACTTGGTGCGTCGGTACCGCTTGTCATGCGATAGCAGAGAGAAGAGTCTTTGACAATTTTTAGGGCCTTCCTCTGACATCGCCTGGTATAGAGGTCCTGGATGGCAGGGAGGTCGGCCTACCCTCTGTAGCGCCTTGTGGTCGGATGTCCAAGCAGTTGCCATACCAAGCGGTGATGCAGCCAGTCAAGATGCTCTCAATGGTGCAGCTGTAGAACTTTTGAGAATCTGAGGGCCCATGCCAAATCTTTTCAGCCTCGTGAGGGGGAAGAGGTGTGTGCGTTCTTCACAACTGTGCTGGTGTGTGTGGACCATGATAATTCCTTAGTGATGTGGACACAGAGGAACTTGAAACTCTCGACCCACTCCACTACAGCCCTGTCTAGGTGGATAGGGGCGTGCTCGCCCCTACGTTTTCTGTAGTCCACGATCAGCTCCTTTGCCTTGCTGACGTTGAGGGAGAGGATGTTGTCCTGGCACCACACTGCCAGGTCACCAACAACCTCCCTATAGGCTGTCTCATCGTTGTCAGTGATCAGGCCAACCACTGTCGTATCGTCAGCAAACTTAATGGTGGTGGAGTCGTGTGCGGCCAGTCGTGGGTGAACTGGGAGTACAAGAGGGGACTAAGCGTGCACCCCTGAGGGGCCACCGTGTTGAGGTTGAGCGTGTCAAGCTCCTTTTCTATTGAGTTTAATTTGTAACATTACAAATTGCACTGTTATTGAAGGTACGAGGGCCATCGAGAGACAACCCCAACATCCTGGTAGATGACCTTTTGACCCCGTGCTCCCCAGGAGACCCGAACGGCATTGAGATGACATGGATGGAAGTCCCTGGGGAAAAGCTATGTGAGCCAGTCGTTTGTATGGTGAGTGTGCAGAATTTTTTTAGTTATTAATAATAAGTTTCCCTGCTTCAATGGTAATGTTTCTGGGGGAAACAAGACTGTTGAATAACCTTTGATCATGTCTCTCTTTTTATGATTTGCAGTCTGACATGCTGAGGTCCCTGACCAGCACAAAGCCAACAGTCAATGATCAGGATTTGGTCAAACTGAAAAAGTTCACAGAGGACTTTGGACAGGAGGGCTAAATTGGGGCATTTGAGCCAAACCAAAGCAAATATTATTATTGATTGTCAAGTGTTCCTTCTCTCCTCTGTCTTTCTCCCACTCTCCCCCTCAGGCTGTGTTGGCTTATCACATGACTGCTCTACTAATAGAAATATAATTACTAGAACGGACATCTCCATTTAAGTAATCTATTTCTTTGGCTCTACTGAGCTTGTCTATTGGCCACACAAGGGGTTAAACAAAGACTGATATTTTCTTAGATGCTTCCCATGTCTAAAGGATTATGGATCTCTTCACATGTCTGAGGTAGACTTGATTGGTGGATGGAAAGCTACATGGAAGTTATGAACATTGGTGCAGCACCTTGGGCCGAATCCTAATATGAGAACAATGCTCAACTCGAACGTTTGCATACATCATGCTTTGAAGTCAATGGGAGTTTGATCTGGAAATTCAAGTTGCCGATACAAGCATGTTAACAAAATTAGAATGCTTCTCTTTGTGTAGAGTGCTTATCTAACTTGCCCAATAAATATCTGAGCTAATTTTCCAAGTACCCATCCACTTTCTGTCAAATTGCACCTCACTTTTCAGTGTGAGCACCCATAAATTCAACTTATTTTTGTACAAATAAGATATGAAAATCCTTTTTATAGTAGATACTGTATGGAGATATATACAGTTGAAGTCGGAAGTTTACATACACCTTAGCCAAAAACATTTAAACTCAGTTTTTCACAATTCCTGACATTTAATCCTAGTAAACATTCCCTGTTTTAGGTCAGTTAGGATCACCACTTTTATTTTAAGAATGTGAAATGTCAGAATAATTGTAGAGAATTATTTATTTATGCTTTTAGTTATTTCATCACATTCCCAGTGGGTCAGAAGTTTACATACACTCAATTAGTATTTGGTAGCATTGCCTTTAAATTGTTTAACTTCGGTCAAATGTTCCGGGTAGCCTTCCACAAGCTTCCCACAATAAATTGGGTGAATTTTGGCCCATTCCTCTTGACAGAGCTGGTGTAACTGAGTCGGGTTTGTAGGCCTCCTTGCTCACACACGCTTTTTCAGTTCTGCCCACACATTTTCTATAGGATTGAGGTCAGGGCTTTGTGATGGCCACTCCAATACCTTAACGTTGTTGTCCTTAAGCCATTTTGCCACAACTTTGGAAGTATGCTTGGGGTCATTGTCCATTTGGAAGACCCATTTGCGACCAAGCTTTAACTTCCTGACTGATGTCTTGATGTTGCTTCAATATATCCACATAATTTTCCTTCCTCATGATGCCATCTATTTTATGAAGTGCACCAGTCCCTCCTGCAGCAAAGCACCCCCACAGCATGATGCTGCCACCCCGTGCTTCACGGTTGGGATGGTGTTCTTCAGCTTGCAGCCAACCCCTTTTTCCTCCAAACATAACGATGGTCATTATGGCCAAACAGTTATATTTTTGTTTCATCAGACCAGAGGACATTTCTCCAAAAAGTAAATGTTTGTCCCCATGTGCAGTTGCAAACCGTAGTCTCGCTTTTCTTATGGCGGTTTTGGAGCAGTGGCTTCTTCCTTGCTGAGCGGCCTTTCAGGTTATGTCGATATAGGACTCGTTTTACTGTAGATACTTTTGCACCTGTTTCCTCCATCTTCACAAGGTCCTTTGCTGTTGTTCTGGGATTGATTTGCACTTTTCGCACCAAAGTACGTTCAATCTCTAGAAGACAGAACGCGTCTCCTTCCTGAGCGGTATGATGGCTGCGTGGTCCCATGGTGTTTATACTTGCGTACTATTGTTTGTACAGATGAAAGTGGTACCTTCAGGCGTTTCGAAATTGCTCCCAAGGATGAACCAGACTTGTGGGGGTCTACAATTTTTTTTCTGAGGTTTTGGCTGATTTCTTTTGATTTTACCATGATGTCAAGCAAAGAGGAACTGAGTTTGAAGGGAGGCCTTGAAATGCATCCACAGGTACACCTCCAATTGACTCAAATGATGTCAATTAGCCTATCAGAAGCTTCTAAAGCCATGACATCATTTTCTGGAATTTTCCAAGCTGTTTAAAGGCACAGTCAACTTAGTGTATGTAAACTTCTGACCCACTGGAATTGTGATACAGTGAATTATAGGTGAAATAATCTGTAAACAATTGTTGGAAAAATGACTTGTCATGCACAAAGTAGATGTCCTAACCGACTTGCCAAAACTATAGTTTGTTAACAAGAAATGTGTGTGGTTGAAAAACGAGTTTTAATGACTCCAACCTAAGTATGTAAACTTCTGACTTCAACTGTAGCTCTTTGGTCTGAAGAGAATGAAACTAACAATGCATGCCGTTGTGCTTGCACAGGATATTTTTTGAATATTATTGATGGAATTTGTGACAGTCTCAAGGTGATAGGAGTTACATGGGTTTGGATAATTGAACCACTGTAAATGTACAGGTGTAGGATATTTTGATCACCCTGTTGCAGTAAATGCAAACTTGTAGTCTATTTGCGGTTTAAAAATGCTTCTCAAGTTTGTAATTTCCACTTTAAAATGTCAGGCTTGATTTGCCCAAAGGAAAAATGTATCAACACCTGTTGCTGCAGGATTATTTTCCTGCTGTGAAGAACTGGTCAAATTAAGATCCTGCATCTGTATGTACAGTGGGGAGAACAAGTATTTGATACTGCCGATTTTGCAGGTTTTCCTACTTACAAAGCATGTAGAGGTCTGTAATTTTTATCATAGGTACACTTCAACTGTGAGAGACGGAATCTAAAACAGAAATCCAAAAAATCACATTGTATGATTTTAAGTAATTAATTTGCATTTTATTGCATGACATAAGTATTTGATACATCAGAAAAGCAGAACTTAATATTTGGTACAGAAACCTTTGTTTGCAATTACAGAGATCATACGTTTCCTGTAGGTCTTGACCAGGTTTGCACACACTGCAGCAGGGATTTTGGCCCCTCCTCCATACAGACCTTCTCCAGATCCTTCAGGTTTCGGGGCTGTCGCTGGGCAATACGGACTTTCAGCTCCATCCAAAGATTTTCTGTTGGGTTCAGGTCTGGAGACTGGCTAGGCCACTCCAGGACCTTGAGATGCTTCTTACGGAGCCACTCCTTAGTTGCCCTGACTGTGTGTTTGGGGTCGTTGTCATGCTGGAAGACCCAGCCACGACCCATATTCAATGCTCTTACTGAGGAAAGGAGGTTGTTGGCCAAGATCACGCGATACATGGCCCCATCCATCCTCCCCTCAATACGGTGCAGTCATCCTGTCCCCTTTGCAGAAAAGCATCCCCAAAGAATGTTTCCACCTCCATGCTACACAGTTGGGATGGTGTTCTTGGTTGTACTCATCCTTCTTCCTCCAAACACGGCGAGTGGTTTAGACCAAAAAGCTCTATTTTTGTCTCATCAGACCACATGACCTTCTCCCATTCCTCCTCTGGATGATCCAGATGGTCATTGGCAAACTTCAGACGGGCCTGGACATGCGCTGGCTTGAGCAGGGGGACCTTGAGTGCGCTGCAGGATTTTAATCCATGATGGCATAGTGTGTTACTAATGGTTTTCTTTGAGACTGTGGTCCCAGCTCTCTTCAGGTCATTGACCAGGTCCTGTCGTGTAGTTCTGGGCTGATCCCTCACCTTCCTCATGATTATTGATGCCCCACGATTGACCGTCATCTTGAACTTTTCAATTTTCTAATAATTGCGCCAACAGTTGTTGCCTTCTCACCAAGCTGCTTGCCTATTGTCCTGTAGCCCATCCCAACCTTGTGCAGGTCTACAATTTTATCCCTGATGTCCTTACACAGCTCTCTGGTCTTAGCCATTGTGTAGAGGTTGGAGTCTGTTTGATTGTGTGTGGACAGGTGTCTTTTATACAGGTAACGAGTTCAAACAGGTGCAGTTAATACAGGTAATGAGTGGAGAACAGGAGGGCTTCTTAAAGAAAAACTAACAGGTCTGTGAGAGCCGGAATTCTTACTGGTTGGTAGGTGATCAAATACTTATGTCATGCAATAAAATGCTAATTAATTACTTAAAAATCATACAATGTGATTTTCTGGATTTTTGTTTTAGATTCCGTCTCTCACAGTTGAAGTGTACCTATGATAAAAAATTACAGACCTCTACATGCTTTGTAAGTAGGAAAACCTGCAAAATCGGCAGTGTATCAAATACTTGTTCTCCCCACTGTCATTCTACGTACACAGGCATTTGTGGGGCTTCTGCTAGGGTTAGAAGAGTTGACACACTGGATGGAAACTGCTTTGGGATGTATTTTATATGTAGATTTGTTTTTCCCCTGAGAAGAAAGGCTACTCTGTTTGTTCATTGTCATTCTGATTCAAACTGTCAGAATCACCAAAGTTACTGTACCAGAAAAACCTTATAATATAGTAAAGGATTCAATACTTTTTTCCCCGACCATCCACGCACCCTACATATTTCCCTCATGTATCCCTGTTGCTGATCTTCCTAACAAGAACTACTAGAAAGAGATGATGCCTTACTGAGATCGTCACACTGTCTAACGGTGTTGAAGAAACAACGGGACTGATATTTTGGTGTGAATGGAATTGTGTAGGTAGCCTGAAATTGACATTTTAGGCACAGAAGAACACCCTCATGGCATCATGTCCTTTTTGTTATTGCAATGCTTACTACCTTTAAGATGTGGCCATTTTAAGTGGCAATGCACACCATGTGCTTTCTAAACAAGTATCAAGATCATATACATTGTTCTTTTGCTTGGTTCATTTTAAAATTTGGTTGTTGATATCCAGTAAGACACAGCTATATTGTGGGTTTTGTCATTGTTGCCATTAAATATATTTGCACATTTCATGTAAACTGGCTTTTAGAGATTGTATATGTCTATACTCCTATGCACTTAGTGTTGGTATTCTTAAGACTTTCTTTCAAAGTGTTGAGGACATCTTTGGTGTGGTCTTTTAAATTCACTTTACTGTGAAACGTTTTGTGTAGAGAATGATACAGTATATCTGTATCAGTGAGTGGAAAAGTTATAATTCAGAACGTATCAGAATTTCTTTGCCATGCATATGTAAATAAAAGTTATTAAGATTGTACATATTTGTAAAGTATTGTCTCAAGGTCCAGGTTGAGGATTCAAAGGAATCTTCACAAATGCCAATCTCTCACTTGACAACATTGAGGAGGATCTTACTATCGTTATTGCTAGGTCATGTAGGTAGAAAAAATTGTGCCAGTAGCGGTGCTTGGGTAAAATGACTGGGGAAGCCAGGGAAAAAATTCCATATTGCAACCTACAGTGAGGGAAAAAAGTATTTGATCCCCTGCTGATTTTGTACGTTTGCCCACTGACAAAGAAGTGATCAGGCTATCATTTTAATGGTAGGTTTATTTGAACCGTGAGAGACAGAATAACAACAAAAAGATCCAGAAAAACGCATGTCAAAAATGTTATAAATTGATTTGCATTTTAATGAGGGAAATAAGTATTTGACCCCCTCTCAATCAGAAAGATTTATGGCTCCCAGGTGTCTTTTATACAGGTAACAACTGAGATTAGGAGCACACTCTTAAAGGGAGTGCTCCTACTCTCAGTTTGTTACCTGTATAAAAGACACCTGTACACAGAAGCAATCAATCAATCAGATTCCAAACTCTCCACCATGGCCAAGACCAAAGAGCTCTCCAAGGATGTCAGGGACAAGATTGTAGACCTACACAAGGCTGGAATGGGCTACAAGACCATCGCCAAGCAGCTTGGGGAGAAGGTGACAACAGTTGGTGCGATTATTTGCAAATGGAAGAAACACAAAATAACTGTCAATCTCCCTCGGCATGGGGCTCCATGCAATATCTCACCTCGTGGAGTTGCAATGATCATGAGAACGGTGAGGAATCAGCCCAGACCTTTACGGGAGGATCTTGTCAATGATTTCAAGGCAGCTGGGACCATAGTCACCAAGAAAACAATTGGTAACACACTACGCCGTGAAGGACTGAAATCCTGCAGCGCCCGCAAGGTCCCCCTGCTCAAGAAAGCACATATACAGGCCTGTCTGAAGTTTGCCAATGAACATCTGAATGAGGAGAATTGGGTGAAAGTGTTGTGGTCAGATAAGACCAAAAACGAGCTCTTTGGCATCAACTCAACTCGCCGTGTTTGGAGGAGGAGGAATGCTGCCTATGACCCCAAGAACACCATCCCCACCGTCAAACATGGAGGTGGAAACTATGCTTTGGGGGTGTTTTTCTGCTAAGGGGACAGGACAACTTCACCGCATCAAAGGGACGATGGACGGGGCCATGTACCATCAAATCTTGGGTGAGAACCTCCTTCCCTCAGCCAGGGCATTGAAAATGGGCCGTGGATGGGTATTCCAGCATGACAATGACCCAAAACACACGGCCAAGGCAACAAAGGAGTGGCTCAAGAAGAAGCACATTAAGGTCCTGGAGTGGCCTAGCCAGTCTCCAGACCTTAATCCCATAGAAAATCTGTGGAGGGAGCTGAAAGTTTGAGTTGCCAAACGTCAGCCTCGAAACCTTAATGACTTGGAGAAGATCTGCAAAGAGGAGTGGGACAAAATCGCTCCTGAAATGTGTGCAAACCTGGTGGCCAACTACAAGAAATGTCTGACCTCTGTGATTGCCAACAAGGGTTTTGCTACCAAGTACTAAGTCATTTTTTGCAGAGGGGTCAAATACTTATTTCCCTCATTAAAATGCAAATCAATTTATAAAATTTTTGACATGTGTTTTTCAGGATTTTGTTGTTGTTATTCTGTCTCTCAGTGTTCAAATAAACCTACCATTAAAATTATAGACCGCCGGGGATGTATTATAAATTGGCACAAATTTCTAAAAACCTGTTTTTGCTTTGTCATTATGGGGTATTGTGTGTAAATGTGTGTGGGAAATGATTTAATCCATTCTAGAATATGTCTGTAACATAACAATGTGGAAAAAGTGAAGGGGTCAGAATACTTTCCAAATGTACTGTATAGGCCTAAGGCCAAGACATAAGAAGACACAGTGGCAGAATAAATTCAACCACACCCTTGTTTCATCATATAACCGGTGAAGTCTACAAAACATATTGCATGTAACAAACTATTAGGCTACATGAACTACAGCATGGTCAAGCAAGTTAATGTTTCCGACATTTTCAGATTACTAAACAACTGTTAATTTAGAATTATGGAGAGCTACCGCAAATCTGGGAATATTTGGCCTAGGATACATTTCTGGTTGTTCTCAGGGAATGTAAAACAGTTGAGAAGGGAGACTTTGAAAACCGAATTGAGTGAAGTAGCAGCGCATATGTTGAATGACCAACTAATGAGCATGGAGAGCCTCGCAAGTTTGACGAAATCACCATATATATATTTTCAGTCTAATCACCTTATATATTTACTTAGGCTACTTTTGTAGCTCTTCGTCAGAAGCACGGTTTTTGTAAGTAGTTAACTGTCCTCCAAGTTTAGCTGGAATTTAGACCGAAAGGATTTGACTAAGGGGATTTGTTGACGATATTACATTGGCCTACGTCTTGTCTTGTGCTGTGTAGAATATCAGATCTCAACAACGATTAGAGAAATGTTTAACATCACCAGTTCCACATCCTTATTACATATATCTTGTCAAAAGCGCAACGTGACTGCAAACAGAGATCTGTATATGATGAGACGCTCATGTCTCCACCCTAAATATGGGAGTCGTTGTCCCAAAGGCGTGAAGGCAAGTTTAGTTCCAAAATAAGCCCATAGAAACGCATTGAGTTTATTTTGGATAGATTTGAGTGAGAGTCAAACCTCTCGCATCGCCTCTTCCTTTCTGCTGCAAAAAATAGAAGTTGGAATGGCTGACTGAAATACGGGACAAATGAATCAACCTTTTTTAAATTATTAGTGGTGTTTGAATTTGTTGATAAAATGTGGGATATGATAGTTTGGTTGCGACACATGGGACAAAGGGCCAAAATGCGGGATTGTCCCGCACAATCCAGGACATGTGGTCACCCTAGGCGCTGCCTCCACTATTCCAGCACCATTTCAACTTCATCTAATCACCTATGCTTATTCCAATACAGTGACAACTAAAATATACCAACAATTATTTAGTTCAATCAACATAAACTAAATATGATGGTGTGTGTGTGTAAATAGAAAAACATGTTGACTCACCCTACTTGTAGAGAAACGCCAATGCCATCTTCCTCTTTCATGTTGCTTAAATGGTTTATGACTCTGTCATACAACCTTTTTGTTTTTTGTTGTCCTAGGCTATCTGGCTAAAATGATTACTCGCTAGCCTAACTTCCATAGGCAACGATGCACCAGGCCAGCTAGTTAACATTAGCCTAATGTTACTACATGTTGAACTTCCATCCTCTCAGGCCAGGGGCACAATGTATGAATTTATGGTTGGATCAGAATCACCGTTATAATCACTGGCCAAATACCTATCTCCATCCATGGCTATTTTAGGAAAGGGACAATTTTAGTTAGCGAGTGAGCCACCAGAGGACAACGGCACAACAAGATGCAACAATTCAAGTTCTGTCAATGGCGTTTGGCTTCTAATGTGATGTGATTGGTGTGAAGCCAAATCCAAACTGGCTTCCCTTTACACTTTCTTTTGGTGCACCAGGACCATTCACAGCTGAGCTCACTCAGTTTAGTGCAATGCTGAATGGCTATTATTATTTTATTTTTTATCAAGGGAGGCCAAATGCTTGCTGGTTTCCCTTGCATTCAATGCTACAGCGGCAACAATGTCATACTCTTTTTGACAAGGCAGCATAGGGCTACACATACAGAGACAGGGGGGGGCACTGTTTCGTTCGCTTGGATGCTTTCTCCAGAAACATTCAGCCTCTTCAACATCCATAGCTCTTCCCACTTAGGCGTGGTTTCCGGTGCGCTTTTTAAAATAAGCGCTGGTTTAGTCAAATGCAAAACGTTCTGTCGCGGAGCTCCTTATAAAATAGCACGTGGAGCTAGTAACGAGCTGTTGGATGAAACGTTACTATTTTTTTTGCCGAGACATACGAGGATTACCACAGAGTTCCCTGGCGCACAGAAATTATAATCTTCAACCTGCGAGGACAGATAGGGACACCAGAAACATTCCAAGCAAGGTGAGGTTAAAGCAGCAATCGGCAGTAGAAACAATATCCAAACGTTATCGCCGCCCCTGCTCCAGTAAAATTCTGAGGGATGGGGCTGGAGAAATGTAACCACTCTCAAATTAATAGACAAAGCTATGAGTGCAAGGACTGACCATCCGTGATATCAACATTATAGTTTAAACCTATATGTTATTAGGCTATATAGTGTTTGTTTACATTTACTTTGTTTACAAACATTGGAGTAAAACAAAAACTTATTTTGGGTTCTGATGGGATACGGCTGTTGAACTAAGCTCATGAGGCATTTATAAGTTATATTGTTCAAGAACCTACATATCAATTATTTATAAGTCCAAACATGGATGTACTTTAAAGTATAGGCATATGAATGTGGTTGTTGAATCATATCACGGGGTCGTACCAAATGGTCTCTTTTCTATTTGTTATTTTATTAAAAAGCTTAGTCCTGCAACTTCGAAAATGTCACGGTGTTAAAACGCATCAGTCCTTCTTACGCACAATATGTTTATTTTTTGGGGGGCTGGTCTACGTGCTGATTTGAGTTTTGCGTAGTCTTTCAGGGGGAAAACAGTTGGACTGAGGTCAGGGGATGCGGAACCATGATAGTGTTGGATATCCATAGAGGTTTATGGTGATTAATATACAGCACAGAGAATATCCCCTGTATAAAACACCTGCTGGATATGTAATAGCCTACTTTTTACATATGAAATATATATATATTTTAATCCTTTTCTCAACAGATCAAAAAATGGATGAAAGTAAGTGAACACTCTTCTCTCATCAGTATTTCGACCTCAGCTTTGCCATCTTAGATTTCTCACCAGGGCATTAAATAAGCATAATCACCTCTGACTTAATGGC